CCCCTTGCAGTTTTTAATTTTTAAGCTCAAAGTTTCTGCCATATGATTTTGCGTGTATTCATACATGTTAGTGCCTAAAACATACTCTCAATCTTTTGTAACCCTTTTGATACAGTTGCGAAACACTGAATCGATTTTTTTCCCCTCTCCTTTCTAAGGCATTTAGGTCGCGAATGCAGTTCGTAAATCCGTGTAGCTTCGCAGTGCACAGTATATTCACCAAGTTATGTAACACATGTTATGTGTTTTTGGGTTTGGGACCGAATCAGATCATGGACTTACAAGTTATGCCGGCAGTCCACAATCCTGTTCGCGCAATCGCCATAAAAGGTTCGTAATTTGATATTCGAACTATAAATTTTCAAAGAAAAGCATCTGTTTCCGATATTCACGCAGTCGCTGAGATGGTGTGGGCCCCTACGGCCCAGCCAGCAGCCGAAGCGTCCCATGCCTGGAGCAGGCGCGGGCGGCGCAAAGGTCAAGCGAGGGGCAATCTGGCTTGAAAAGATCCCGCTCGAGTTTGCCCTTGCACGCTGCCAACGCGTGCTGAGCGCTATAAGAGTTTTAAGACCCTTAAAATGAAAACCACTCGGCTCAAACACTTGACCTTTAAACCCAATGGACCCAAAATTCATTAAATACCTGCTTCTTTGTTTCCTCTTCGGGTGGGCGGCAAATAAGTAATATTTCCAAAATAAGACGTCGACAAAGGCATTGCAAACTCAGTACAACTTTTCCAAACCCCTATAGTAAGAACGCTCTTTTTCCCCTTTAAACTGACCAAACGGTGCACATAATGCGAGTGCCCACGAGCAAGCAGAAAGTAAACCTGCGGTACATCTCTGTTTCTAAACATCAAATAGACTGTAGCTGATGAAAGCCACTGGTTTTAAGTCCTAAGTTAAAATTACCTTCATGAATATGGGTGACATGATTTGTGGGTACCTGATTAGGCAACATCTGTTTTTCAGACTCTTCATTCACCACACAAGGTCAAATCAAACAAACTCATCCTTTTGAAAAACACACACAAAAAGGGGCCCGAGGACTGACGATTATATTTGATTAATTTCCCCCGATGTGTGTGAAAATCATATTGGAATTTGGAAATGGGCGATTCAGGCCCGTTTATTAGGGTTTTCCTGTTAGGTCCTGTGAGGTCAATCATTCCACATAAACTACGACATTCGATACTTTGCATGGATATAAAACACCACATCCTCAGAGTTCACAAAATAAGTCAGACAAGAAAAGTTTACTTCCCGGCCAAATTGTGTCTTCACATTTTCTTCATGTATCACATTTCAAAACTGTATAGAGTTCTTCAAAACAGAACAACAAAGAACAAATTCATAAAACTCGCCCTTTAAAGGGTCTTGGGAAAACTTGAAAGCAAACTGAACGGCTTTCAGTTAAATCTCTCTTCCATCAGCGTTAAAACAAAACTGCGAAATAAACACATACCGCCACAGGCAACAAAATGACATGTCTCCTCGCCAAGAGTGGTACATGCTTTCCATTAGCGGGGATAAAAAAAAAACAATCTAAAATCAACCCCACTGAGGACAAAAGGGAAAAGAAACTTTGAAAGTCATCAATTCTGAGGCTGCTTCTCTGGCGAAAGAGCAGCCTACGGTGTCAGGTGTAGGTGAGCTTTGGCTTGGATCAGCCCACGCAAACATGTCTCTGTTACGGTCCCTCTTTTTGCAGTAAACGTACCTGCATCAGTTTTTGAAACTCGTTCAAAAATGGTAAAGAAAAATAAAGATAGTTCAATTTATTTTCTATGGTATCTCTTTATGCATCTTGTCATGTACGATATCAACAGTACAATAAGGTTCTACGACTGAAATGTGAACAATCTGTGGAGCCATTACCTGACCACAGTGATTTCAAGACTATTTTTATGGGGGGGAGGTCTGTTAAGCTCCACCCCTCTCCTTGATTGCCCTGGAATTGTACAATATGTGTTTCTTTTCAGTGCACTACTCAGCAAACCAGGATATCCTTTGGAGCCGACAGGAATCCCTTACCACAGTGACCTGCATATACACAGAGACCTGAACAATTCAGTGAAAGAAATCAACAAACAATGGGCTACAGATGAGGAAATCTCAATATAAAAACACCGTCACAACAAAATACTGCAACTCCGAGGGTCCTAATCTTGTTAAGTCTTTTGTTTTCTTTTTATAAGGTTCTGGTTGAAATTTAATTGGTCACAGTAACCTTTTAATGAGACGTCACTGTTACATCTGTACAAAGCACTTTAACGGAATATGCTGATCTTCAGATTTCGCTTTTAACAAAAAGACCATTTTGTGCTCAGCGGATTTGTGCCAGTAAGCATCATGAATTTGACTCCCTAAAATATGAGCTCAGGGACAAAATTCATTATGCTGCTTGGCACATGATTTCAGGCTAACAGAGGCTCCACATATTTCAGGGAGATTGTAAGCGTAGGCACAGCCAAAGGCATGCTAACTTTGGAGGAAAAATTTGCTCAAACTTAGAAACGTAACGATAGAAATCTCTACGCATGCAAAACCTTTAGTACCACGCCAAGTACTGCCATGACATAGTGCTTCAAATGAGCAAACTTTTTCTGCAGAAGTTGGCATGACTTTGCTGCTAACTGCTAAGTAGCTCTGTGAAATTAGGCCCTGACCAACTTGCCCCCACTGTCATCTCTAAGCAGACATTAGGGATTTGGCAATCTGCCAGTTTCTAATTCACAAGCCTCGTTTAATGGCAGCTGATAAATGTCAAATGTATTTCTGCCACCGACCAATTTCCTCTACCTACTAATAAGACTGGCATATTGATTCGCAAAGCTACACATAATGTATGTGTTTGAAGAGACAGACAATCCACGGGGAACCAGTTTACAAGAAGTGTTTGGGACATAGAGGACTTTTTGGCTGGTATCCTGTTTTTGGCCAAGCAAAACATTTTTTGCCCTCAACATACTGACCAGCTGCATAACATTAGACAGGTGGAAGGTGGATCTCCACCTTCTTGTAACAATAACAGAATGGTTACTTCCTACTGGACACGACTAAAAATAATAATTGACTGAATATATTACTGTGCAATAGTCTTTAGATAATACTTGACAAAAATCCACATCTTCCATTAAAAACAATAACCCTGTTGAGAGTTTCAAAGTGAAATAGAGCTCTACAGGGTAAACTACAAATATCAGAGGTGTGGATTAGAACGCTTCCTCCCCTAAAAGAAAAAAGTAAGAAAGAGAGAAAGACTTGGACATAGGTTTTGTACCAAACAGCTCCCAATACCTTCTTCTGAACACGTATGTAGCTTTTGATGGCGCAATTGGCTGAGTTATGCATGGAAGTACAGCAATAATGTACTCATGTTCCCTGTGTTATAATTTGTTTACGCCTGACTGCCTTTTTTCTCTGTCTGATGATGTAGTTGTTAGCAAATGTACAGTCTGAAAGGTCCTGATAACATAAAATCCCACTCCCGGGCTTTGTCTTCTTGTTTTTGTTTCACACATTCTTCTTTGGCAGGCCTTCACACCAAAACAAAGCAAGTTGTGATACAAGGCTTTTCAAGCCAGCCACTGGAAATGTGACACCCCCCCACACAAAAAAAAACACTGAAAGGTTTTTGTAAACAAAACTCAATTCCAGCACAGACACACAAATTATAGTTCTTGACATGCTCTGGATTTTATGTTTGATAAATGTACATGTTTGCTGAAAACAGTCACATTCAAACCTAGTGGCATATTTCAAATACCCTTCATTACATTGTTAACCATCTCTCTCTGTCATTAGGTTACAATTCTATATAACTGTTCAATATGCACACTTCTAATTTAAAGCTCTGTGACTGTACAACCACATTTCTCACTTAAATGAGTGTTATTTATAACTGACAAGTTTGGCATCTTTCTAGAAAAGACAGGTTTCCATCTGGCCGAATATTTCTTGTCCTTATAATTCACTTTGTACATTCCCCTCACTAGGTTACAAAATTACAACATTACTTGTTGAGCAAACCCCTCCCCCCTTTACAGAAAATCTCCATGATGAAAGGAAAATAGGTTTTCTATATTTGAAAGAGGCAGCAAAATGATTGTTTCCTTGTGTATGACATGTTAGCATCTTTGGCTTCAATGGCCCCTGCTCCATTTTTCTGGCCATGGTTCAGATTTATTTTTACTCATACTCACATTGGAGGATTCAGGACTGTTAAAATTAATGCCAAAATGATGTCAGAAAGAAAGTACCATATATGGCCCTAACTCTTTCAAGTTGAGGTTTAGTGTAGATAAAATAGAATCTTGTTGGATTGGATATGGTAAAGGTTAATGAATTTATAAGTTGCTTCAATTCTTCTGCACATAAATTTGAGCATACAGTAGAAATGGAGAACACATCGTCCAAAACCCTAATGGGGTTTCATCTAGGATTGAAATACCTGCCTGACCTATCAAAGCTGAGGCTAAAAAGTGCTTCCCACTCTCACTCTTAGTGATGTTTTCAAAACTGACATCCCTAAGCGCTACTGGAGGCCATATTTCCACTGTACCTCATATGCGGGAAGGAAATGTGAAGATTTGCTCACTGATGTAGAAAATTTATGTGAAAAATACCTGGTTGGTTTGTAAATTTTTGAACAAGTAAAAATCTGCGATTTCAAGGATGGATTTGCGCCGGGGAGATGTAAATTAATTTCGGATTTTTTTTTTCCATTTTCAAGACAGGTGGCCAGATGCAACACTGCACCCACATGGCAGTGATTCAGACATGAACTAATTAATTAAATTATCACATGGAACATGCTTCGGAGGGAAAAAAAATTGTGAACTGTGCCACTTCTGTAGATTTGAGGAAGAAGAAAGGAAAGGGTTCACTACACTAACCTTTCTTTGGGGAAAGGAGTTTGAGAAAGTTTGTAGGGCAAGGTTACATTTATATTCAGTGACAAGAATCTGAATATCACGGTACAATGATATTACCAGACCTTTATTTTTCGAATTTAATGACCCAATGATCACCAATGTGGGACGCACAGCCTTCAAATCACATGACACAATCAATTGTGGTATATAGAAATGCAATAAAAAAAAGAGGGGGCGTCACATGATCGCGTGTGGAGCTATCGACCTGAATTCTTGAGAGGCTTTTATTTGCAGCTGTGATGACTACTCTAGTGCAAGGTGGGGGGTGCCCGTATCTCAGATTCGTCTCATGTTTTCTTGTCGCTTCAGTGTCATGGAGTACTGTTCTACAGCTGACGCGTCAGTTTGTTTCATAGGAGTCGAAGGTGTGGAGCAATCTCATTCGGGCATGACTAGAACAGCTTGACACCGATAGTAGAGCTGAAAGATGACGTCCAAGCTGGACAAAAGCAGGTTACTGTCTGACTCTTTCTGAGCCTTAAGATTACTTCCCATCCATCCTTTTGCTTGCACAAGGTGGATGGACATGTGCCTTTGGGTTTCTAAGAGAGAAGGAGGTGAGGAGGAATACAATCTGTGAAGAAAAATGACAAGAAAATCTGATTAGAATGAAAAAACCTCTTAGTTTGGCCGGAAAAAAAAAGAGTGTGAGCAAATTTCCGTTCTTTATTTCATAAATGTCCCAACACATGAATGAATTTGTTTGTAACCTCCACAAATCTTACAAATGTTGAATGGCCAAAGTTGTTGCTAAATGCAATTTTTGGCTTTTTTTTAGGGCAAACCACTCAGAATTACAGCTATATGTGAAATTGTAAATACTTGCCATTTGGCCTACAATGGAAACTAAGCAACTCCTAGGAGTGTTTAAATGTGGAGGGAATTTTTCAAATATTAGCCAGGTATTTCAGATGCATTCTTAAAGTTTTTTGCAAGACTCTCAAATACGGCCAACAGCCAAATACCACACGTATACCACAACACAAGTTAATAAAAAATTCGGAAGAAATAATGCACAGCTGATCCATGCACATTTTTAAAAAAATCACAAAACAAAATTCTGAATTAAAAAAATCCTATCCAAATTCAAATCTGCTGTTATACTATAACACTGCTACACAATAAGGACTAATTGTTACAAGGCTACTCCTCTCCAAAGATCGTCGCTAATCTCAAAATTGAAAATTCCCAACTCGATGACTGGTTCATTAAGCAATTCATGCCAGTTTTTTATTTCCTTGAAATGGCCCATTTTTAATGATCTGATCAATCAATCTTTCATGCATTTCTCCTCACTCTTTGATCTCGCCACCTTCCACCTCGGCCTTCACATTGTCCACCCTCCCACTCAATCCCTTCCCACCTCCATATTCATTCATCATCTCCCCCAGGAAACCAGACCGCATTTGATTTCTGTTGTTCATTTTCTTCTCTCAGTATACTATCAGCACAGGAACTCGGACCTTCACAGCTGTCTTTTAAATGAATGTATTCATCGATTCGTTTGTTTTTCTTTGTTTGAATTCCTTCTCAAACTGAGCAAAAATTAAGCTGTTATCCCTCGAAGATGTTATGATCTACTGGACCCCTGATGGAGCTTATGCTGTTGGTTATTTTCTCTTCAGAAATTTAAATTCAGTGAGGTGTCGTTAAAAAGCTAGAGAAGGTCAGCTACTTTTTCCAGACTGCAATTCAGACATCCTCTACAGAATACAGGTTCCTGAAAAGGTGATATTGTCGGAGCGTGTAGTAATTGTATTTCACAAAGGTACTGAATGGATTATGGGTCGGGTTGGCATCGGGGGTCAACGGTCATGGTCAGAGGCTGTGTGTCAGGTGGTTGAGTCTGGATAGAATTCAAGTTTGAATTTGGCACATCATGTTGCCAGATTGGCACATGTACTTACAGTACGACAGTCCATTCTTCTAATGTACCTACATGTAAGCCTTGTGGGTAAAAGTGGTACTTCCGTTCAACATCCTAGAATGGATTTACACAATAAAGGGAGTGAAATTCAGCCGAGACGGCAGTTGTGTCTTTACTCCTTGTGATTCTAACTGTAAGGACGTACCCAACAGTGCAACCAATGAAAATAGAGGCAGGACATATTTTGACTGAAAAAGTCTACAGTTTTAACACTTGAAATGGGGCAATATGCTGTGAATGAACTGTTCATTTATCATCCATCTGATGGCCTTTCACAAATGGCAATTTGGTGTATTGCACTATGCAAGGCTGAATTCCCAAACAAACCTCAATGCAGGGTAGCCATGGCAACTGCCAGGTAGCCATGGTTCCCCAAGGTAACCCCATGATACCTCATTAGTCCCCATGCTAGTACCCACTCTTTCCCTAATCTATCCCCCCCTCCCACACACACACACCCCCATCTCATATATCAAGCCCACTGCCTCTGAAGTCCTTTCACCAATTCATGGAAAAATCCCATTCACGGGCTCAATACACGGACCCTGGGTAAGCCTTGCGCAAACAATGGATTTCCCCTCGTCAACAAGTCCAATAGTGCAAATTGTGAGTGGGCAAGTACACAATGATAGCAAGACCTCCACACTGCAAGAGCAACTACGGTCCAATTTTTGGAATTCCATTTTCAATTACTCCGAGAAATCCTCTGGGGAAAAAAACGGCCACCCCTCCTTCCCACTCCAATACCGCGCCATTTTGTCAATTACTTCACTTCCAAAAAAAGTGGGGAAACTACCCTCTTCAAAAGCAGGTCAGTGGCTGCTGCAGATTGGTGAAGTAGGTTCCAGGGGTAGGATTTTTGGCATGAAACAAAATTCTGAACCTTCCAGGATCTTCCACCCCTGCAGGAAACCACCGAGGCACCGACACATTTCCTGTGCACAACAATGGAGTTTCTAAGGGGCATCAAAGCCGTTGAAAGAAACAGCTTCTTTTCTTGAGTGGATTTTGAAGGATCTGGGATAGATTGATAGATAGACTGAATGGTGAAGCAGAACCCAATGACCATTCCTTTGAACAGAGCTTGATAACCAATTCTGTTGAGTACAGAGATTTTGCCCCACTGGGTACGCTGTTGGATTTCAACAGATTAAAGACATTCCCTGGAAATAGTCAACATGTCAAGTAAAAATGGAATGACCTGTAGAAGAGATCTTCAATGGAAAAAGTTGTCGGATTTATTACCTTCAGGCAAGACCAGTTTCCCCCCCCCCAAAAAAAAACCAAATAAGTGACACTGATCCTTAGTCTTGTGCAGGTAATATCATTATCCCCAAACCCTCTAAGGAAGATAGCATTTATGAAGAGACTAGAAAGATTTAAACATATCCGCAGACAGCCTTTCTTCCGGAAGCCAGACACGATTCTACCCCGGCAACCTTATGCCTTTTGTGATACTGCAATGGGATAAGGTCACTTACGCAGCTCTTCTTTGTCCGAGCATAAAGGACACTGGTTGGAGCGCAGAGGAGTGTCTGATCCAACTTGGGGGGGGGTGGGTGCAGGGTAATTTGAGGCTTAAATACTCCCAGGGTACTGCAGGAAGGACAATAATTGGTCATTCATCTCAGGAGCCAGACCTTTACAATAACATATTCTATGTGATTTATTGTACATCTTATCCCTACAAACACCCACGGCCAAGTTGGAGAAATTTTGCCTGTTAGCTTGCAAAGTACGGTCAGTCACAGCAACCTGCTGTTTACTCCAAAAAGCTGCCCCAGGGTTCTTTCTTGGGACCTGTTCGTTTCATGGTTTCACACAGATGTACACGTAGGTCTTGATCAGAGATCAAATGGATGATTTGCTTCATCCGTTAGGCAGGTTCTGGTGTCAGTGAAGCAATGTCGGATCACTAGAAGATCAAACGGGCCCTTGAACCATGGATGAAGGACACAATCACCAAAGGCATAATACTTGGGCCATACACAAGTAGGATTCCTCTGTACACCTTCCTTAGACAATTTAACTGCAATATGCAAACAAAGCATAGCCCATTTCTACACTGAAGCCAGCCAAGAAGAACATCCATGAATGCATAAAAATGAAAAGGCCCATATAAGAAGGGACAGTGAGATCCGGCATGGGGCTGAAACAGTAAACTGCAGGTCATTCTTGAAGTTCTTCAAAATATACTCACCTGTATATTACATGCTCTGAAGATCCCCCTAGGTAAAACAATTAAATGTCAGAACGTGTCTACAAAGCATGAATCATGTCTTTGCACCTGTATTTAACATTGTTCATACATTAAAAAAAAATAAAGATAATACCTCATTGGTACCCAGCAAGTTATGCAATGCATGTCAGTGCACAGTGTTAATGGCCTCAGTGCACCAGCCATTTTGCATGATATAACCATGCCCCTCATTTCTCTATGGTATAACTCAGCGTGCTGGTATTCCACATGTATGCATCACTGCACCGTACTTACAATTTGGCACCTTTGATAACCTACTCAGTATGCACTATGGAGCCCTGTACTTATATTGACACAATTTTCCTGGTCTTTTCAACTGAGAGAGAGAGAAAAAAAGCCATGACCTAAGTCAGAGGTACCTACAAGTTCCAAGAGCTTGACCCTTATTACCGCTCCGTTTCCCACACTCTGCTGTAGACAAATTCAAAGCCCAAAGAACCCCCTCCCCACCTTCTTCATACACCCCTTTTCATTGACACTGAAGACATTATCAACCCCACAGGGCCCACAGTACAGCCCCACAGTAACACTTGCTGTGTTTTGTGTTAACATTCCTGCTGCCTTGAAGTATTTACAACAGATAAGAAAAAACTGGTTATATTTGAATCAGGTGCCCTCCCCACTGTTTGGCGATTACATAAACTGGAGAGCAGGGTGGGTTATCTGGTGTCAAAGTTTGTTGTAGGTAAACAGAGAACAGGGGTTTTTAATTGGATGCCAGTAGCACTGTGGTTGGCAGGAGCCATTCTGCCCTCAGCTGTTTTGAATTAAATGAAATAATGGACGACTGGGGGAGGTGCAGAACTCTAAAAATGGGCAGGGGACAAGGGGTATTCCGGATGGTTATCTGCTCTTGCTAAGCAACAAAAAGTTTTCTTCCCTGAATAAATATTTGTGCCGAGCAGTTCCACGGCGTTTACTCGAGGTACAGAATTTGACAATAACAATGGCACCGTTGCAGTCCCTGGGTTATCTCAAATATTTTTAGGTCCTCACAGACGTTTCCTCCTATTCTTTTTACTCGCTCCTTGTTTTCCAAGATCTACAGGACAAAATGATAAATAAATTGAACTTTTTCATGTTCTCTTCCAGCCTGTGAGCTTAAACGTTCCAGATGATGTTGCGGTTTTACTATATCAGATTGTCAGTTCACTTTAAGCAAATAGACTAAGAATTCCCCCCCCCACACACACACAAACACAATCTTGAGTCAATAAAACTGGTTTCACAGCAAACTGTCTGGCTATCCTGACTGCCAATTATGCAGTTAAAAGTTAAACAATACAAGTAAACACAGAGATCCCCACCCAACCCCCCCAAGAGAAATCAACCTGAATTATGAGATGCACTGACAACTTGATGTTTGTGTTTGTGATTTGTAAACTGA